GTTAAATAATAAAACTTTTTCCTCAATTTGATAAGAAGTTCCAGATTAATTCTTATTGTAATGTTCCTGTTGCTATTGTTATCGTTGCATTATATTTTGCTATGCATCTAATCATCATTGTTGTAATTGTGATGAGATTATCTGTTGATGCTTTCCATAGCACTTGATAAATTACTAACAGGAGAAGGTTATTGCAATTGTAAATCAATTAGTAGAACTGCTTTTCATCTATATAATAATTCAAATGGCTCAAATTTCATTATTCTTTACTATACTGTACGATATGTAAAAAGTGCTGAAGTTAAATATGTATCCCATTCTTTATAGTATTATTCAGTATACTTTGCTAAAATTGTACATAATGTTCTAATAAAACCTTTGGTCAAGCCATTAGTCTAGGGGTGATACAGTGAAGATAATTTATGTTTAGTTCTAACTATATGTAATAATGCAGTGATTAATTCATTTTAGAATGACGTTGCTCTATCAGTTAATATTTCTTTTAGCATTTCATATCGACAGATGATTTCATTATATATAAATTACGTGGTAATTTAGGTAGTAAAATCTGGTGTGGCATTAGCTTTAAGCCATTTAGTCAAATATTCAGTTGCTACAATAATGTACTGATTTTCTTTAGTAGTACGTGAAAGTGATCCTACATAATCTATTCCTACACAGTTGGTTGTCTAACAAGTATAGGTATAGGGATTCCTTAGGTTTTAACCTTCCTTATCATTGGTATATATCACATATTTGTATCCAATTTTCAATAGTTTTGTACATACTTGGCCAATAATATTGAGAGGCAATCTTATTATATGTAATATTTCTTGCTAAATATCCTCTTAAAGGTTTATTATAGATATTATGTAGAATACGTTTGACTTCATTTGATTTTACTACAAGAAGATTGTTTATGATTACGTCTATGAAGTTGTTGATTTTTATGAAATAATATTATGCTTATTTTTGAATTGCGAGTTATTATGAAGGAGTGAGGTTTGGAGGGTACATAAGTTGAATAAGATATTGAAATATTTGATGATAAGTTTTAAATTTCATGTTGTTGAGCTGCTAGTCATACTGCTAGCACTTTCACTTTCACTTTAAAAACTATTAATAAATAATCAGTTTATTGTATTAGAAGCTGAGACAATACGTTAGCATTTGAGTGTAATTTTCCTTTTTTATATCGAATTTGATAGGGAATTTTATTATGTGAATAATTCATCTCATAAATTTGCGAGGTGAATCCAGTTTATTAAAAAGCTATTATTAGGCTGCATGGTTAGTAATTAGTTCAAATTGCTGATATAACAGATAAAATCGAAAATGTTTCATTCTTTATACAGCAGTAAGATATTCCAATTCAGTTGAAATATAGTTCCATTCAGCACTACTTATACTTCAACTAGTGTAAGCTATAACACGTTTCTTATTATTATCATCCAATTGTGTTAATATACTCCAAGTCTAATATATAAAATATCAGTAAATAGTAAGGATTTTTGTTTGAAGTCAGGATATATTAGAAATGGTTCAGTAGTTAAACAAATTTTCAAATATTCAAATGCTTTTTGCTATGATTCAGTCTAGATATAAGACACATCTTTTCGCAATAATAAATGTAGAGGTGCAGCTGATGTAGAAAAATCCTGAATGAACCTCCTATAATAAGATGCGTGACCTAAGAATCCTTAGAGCTCAGTAATATTTCTTGGAATAGGAAAATTCTTAATTTTGTCAATTTTGGAAGGATCAGAAGAAATTTCTTATCCACTAACAATGTATCTCAAGAAGGTTAATTCTAATTTAGCAGAATCACATTTATCTTTCCCAAGCTTTAATCTGATATCTTTTAATCTTTTGAAAATTAATTGCAAATACTGTATATACTCATCGAAAGTAATTGAGAAGATAATAATATCGTTGAGATATACAGCTATAAATTGTCTAATTTTTTCTCTAAAGATATTATTCATCAGACGTTAAAAGGTCGCAGGGGTATTTATCAATTCAAAGGGCATGACTTTAAATTCATAAAATCCTTAGCTAGTTATGAATGCTGTTTTAGCTTGATCATTTGGATATATAGCAATCTGCTAGTATTTGCTTGCTAAATTTAATGTCGAGAAATACTTTGCTTTTCTAAACATATTGAGCAATTCATCAATGTAAGGTAAAGAATGTCTGTCCCGTTAAGTGATACTGTTCAGTTTTCTATAATTAATGCAAAATCAAAGTTTCCATTCTTTTTTCTTACTAGAATGACTGGTGACGCCCAAGGGCGTTTCCATTCTTTTCCTTACTAGAATGACTGATGACGCCCAAGGGCTCTCAGAATGTTAAATTAAATTACGTTCCAACATTATATTAACTTCCTATTTAATAAATTCTTATTTCAAGTGAGTTGCTTGATATGCACACTATCATATTAACATAGGATTCTCTACCAGAATATAATGATTTTCTATCGTTGTATGCCCCAATTGAGATAGGTCATTAGCAAATGCATTTTCATTTATATCAAGAAATCTGGTGATTTGTAGTTGCTGATATTTATTCAGATATGTGTAGAAATTTACTTGAATTGTTAGTTTATCAGGAATGTTTTGTAATAGTTGCCAATGATCCTATTCCTTTTTGCAAAGTTGGCAAATATCATCACTTTTATTTAATTTATTATAACATCAACATCAATTTTCTAATCTTTGCTAATTAAATTTCCACTTAGCATCTTTAGGTGGTTGAATTTCAAATTTTTGTTTTAGACTTTTGAAGTATTAGGGTAAATACTTTTGTCCTTCTACAGAAATTTATTTTGGATTACTTTCAGTGAATATAAATTATCTTGATCTCTAAACACTATATAATGTCATTGGCTATCAATTTTTCATCCTCATGATCTTCATTATTATTAAATGATTAATTAGTAATAATTATTGGTTATTGGAAATAGTTGAATTGTGGCTTCTTCTAACAAGTCATTGATACTTGATGTTCTTTATTATTTCAATAAAATGTGAATTTTTGACAGTCCCAATAAAGTCATCCTCGACATTTTGAAAGCCAGTTATTTCCTGCTATAATGTAATAATTAGTCGATTCAGTAATATCTATATTGATAGGATTTTCATACTATTTAATTGTAGAGGAATATTTATAACTCATCCTAAAGGTTGAGATCATCTGCCTTGTATATTAATCATTGTTATTGTAACTGCTGATCCAAAATCTAATATTAAATAAATTAGTTTATTGTCTACTGTAGCACTACAATAAATAGCTTTAACTGCTTTTAGTGATTCTAAGAAATTTATATATTCATTGATATGCTTACCCTTCAGAGGTATCGTTAATAGTTTAAAGACTGCAATAATGAGAAAAAGGTATTACTGATAGTTGCTAATAGTGGGTTTGGTACTGGAAAGGTCATTGATATTTGAGAGAGAGGTGTGAAAGTCGAGCTGTACATCAACGTAATTTGAGAAAGTGCAGCACGTTGTCTATTATTATTATTATTATATCCACTTATTATATTGGTATTCCTATTGAGATTTCCAGTATCATTATTATTAGCATTTCTATTTGGATATAACCTTTTCCAATGTCCAAACTGAATGCAGAAAGAACATATCCTCTGACTAAGTTAATACAGTTTCTAGTAATATGTTCTGTTTGTTGTCAATTATGATAACTAACTCCTATGTTTGATGTATTATTTTGAGGATATTGATTATTTTCTCCATTATTTTGATTATTTTGGTAATTTCTCTATTGGGTACAGTTTCTAGTAAGATGTCCAGTTCGTCTACAGTTATAACAACTTGGAGTACTTTTATTATTATTATTACGATTATTATTATTATTATAACTATTGGTATTATTATTATTCCATCAATTGTTGTTAGTATTCGCAAGATAATAAGGGGTATTTTAAGATCATGAAGTAGTATTAGAAGTTATAAAAAGTTGCTTGATTCTTTTAATAGTTTTTCGTTATTTTTATCAATGAGTTGTTATATGTTTAGAGCAGTATTGAAAGTTTCAGGAGTATCATCCTCATTTTGTATTAAATATGCTTTACTTAAAGAGTAGGCCTAAAAGTGTGCTATCTTTAGATAATACTGCTTCAATAGCTAGTGTTTGATTGATAGCTTTCTCTATATCACATGGTGCAGTAGCAGTAATTGCAATATGAAATTTAAGTCGAAGTTCTTGTAGAAATTGTTCAATCTTTTTATCCTCTGGTGTATTATAATTTGGATTCAATTTAAGATATAATGACTCAATATTAGTAGAGTAATCCTTAACTGATTGTTCAGAACATTATTTACATCACCTAAATGCAGAATGCTACTTCGTTCATTGGTAAGTAATACAATAATATTTTATAAAGTGATAGATAAAGGATCTATGCTTATGTTATTAATCAGTTTGATAGTCCCAGTATTACAAGTCTTTTTTATTTCTGGTTTTATTGTGTTAGATAAAAGCTGAGGCCTTTAAAAATGAAGGTATTAGAGTAAGATGTCTTTTGTCTGAGATTCTATTTGCATCACATGCGTTATTGTATCTTTCTAACCAATCACAAGGATCCTAGTCTCTACCTTTAAAGATTGGTAAGTTGACAAATTTTGCTTATGTTGTTCGCTAAACTAATAGATCTTAAAACAATTCAGAGTCCTTATAAAGATTAGAAGAGATCTAGTTCATTTTGAGTCTCAGCATTAATAAGAACTATCATGTTCAGAATCAGAACTAGATGATGAAAAGGAGCTATAATAGGAAGAGAAATGATGTTTTCTTCTCTTTTTATCTGACTTTTTTGATTCAGGGTTTTCATTTTCAGTAGCATTTTATGATTTCTTTAGTTTGGATGGAGAAGAACGAGACTGACTAGTACATCTACCCTTTTTACTAAATGTTGGACACTTGCTTTCTGACTTGGAGGGAATTGGTTTTGACTGTTCAGACTCAAGAGTAGGTGGGTCTGATTATCGTGTTTTAGAAGAGAATAGATCTGATTGTCTCTCAGGAGTTCTATAAGCGTTAAAATCTGTTAAGAGGTTAGCAGTCTTACTATCACTAAAAGTAACATTAGCTACAATAGTGTTATCTGATCGATAATCATTGAAGGTAGAATTTCTATTATCATTTTCATCATCATCTATATACAAAGATTCAGTTTGAAGATCCTTACTAATGGTTACAGCTTTTGATGATCTAATTATGTCAGATTGATTTTAAGGTTGAATTATTATCGATAAGTTAATATATTTAGATAAGTCTGAGTGGAGAGGTAAAGAAAAAGCAGAAGTTTCATTGTGTATTTGAATAATTAATTGAAGCGCTTGGTCAAAAGTATAAAAAGGTTATTTGTTATAGATGAACGCATAAAAGGTTTGTTTATAGAAATGATATTTTTGTACAAAGGTAGTAAATACTTAGTCTAATTGAAAGTTTTCAACAGTTTTTCCAATGTATTATCATGCATCTAAAATAAATTTAGCTTACTTAAAGAAAGACTGAAAAGATGTTGATAAGGTTAATGGTAAAGGTGGTGGATAACATATAATATACAAAGAATCTGATAAGAGAGTTATATGCACAATCTTGCATTCCTTTCTAAGATATTATTGATGATGTAATCTCTAGTGTTTAAATATACTTCTAAATAAATTCATACAGTGAGCTTATAGGTTATTACTATGCTAATTAGGAAAAGAGAATCCTGTTATTATTACTAAATGTTAATGTGTAATTCTTGCGAATTACAACTATTAGATAGGATATCAGAGTGTTATTTCTTTTTAATTGCATAGTAATCTTAAGGCTTTACAAGTTTATTATTATAGCTAAATTCAAATAAATATTTATACGAATATTTATGATTAACAATTTAAAAGGTATTAAATAATTATATTTTAAAATAAGATGTTTATTGATGAAATAGAAAATAGAAATAAAGAATAAAAGATATGATAAGAGGAAAGAAAAGAAAATAAAGAAACAATCGCTTTTCTAGTTCCTCAATTTTCGCCTCACATTTGGCTAATTTAGTTATTAATTCGTCGTGGTCGCTCATTTACAAGTATTAAACTAAAATGTAACACGACAGGTCTGTTTCCCTTTTAAAAACTACTGGAAACTGTCTTGTTAAATCCTACTTTTTACATAGTCTAAAAAGCTATCTATTTATATAAAATACGGTATATAGAAAGATATAACTAATATGTCTAATATATTATATATGTTGAATATGTCTGATATATCATATATATCAAATTTGTCTAATATATTCAATTTGTTGATTATGTCAGATATATCATATATGTTAGATATGTCAGAAATGTTAGATATGTCAGATTTGTCAGATTTATCAATCATCTGCACTATGTAAATCCTATCACATTTTATCCATTTAATTATACAAAATCTAGTTTTATATATAAGTTGCGAACTAAAAATAAATTTTATATAAATAAAAAAAAGTTTTTTTCTTACTATTTTATCTTTTTATATATAGAATATGATACCGATACAGTTATACAAGATTATAAATGAAGTCGAAATGGTCAATATTATTTTTTTTTAATACTTTTACTAGACATGCACAAGTGGTAATATATTTGGATGCATACCTTTTAACAGAATAATATGTCTTACAATACGTCTTATTCTACTATTAACCCCTTTGCTATATTTCAAACCAGTGTGGGTTGGCGTTAAACCTAGGTGAATGAGTGTCAATATCCGAGTAAACTGCCAAACCAATGAACCTTCAGGGTAGAAAGATATGGTACCCAGCCATTATTTACTATTCATCACAACTACTGAAAAGATGGTCAAGAACAACCCAAGATGATAGCTTACACTATAGTTGCCTCACCATACGTCAAAATCACCCCAAGAATCGAACTCAGGCCCCAAACCCTAGTTGTGATATAGACACTACGATGATTGAAGACAGTGCAATATCAACCACCTATAACCTATGACTATTGTTTAATCCAGGTTATACAATGCCTACTATTGACCTACCTTCACAGGTATCCTTTACAGACGATGCGGCACTTGTTCATTACAAACTAGCCCCACTATCAGTTCCAAACTCAATTGATTCACAATAGATGAGAATATCTATTACCACTACCTGTTGTCAGGATGGTATAGATCTAGACAAAGCGAACTTATACCATATTGGTGGTAGCTATCATCACACCTTATAGACATCTTAAGGTCACCATATTCTACAAATTCGTGATCTTTAACGTACATGGTTTGTATGCACTCTATGAAATTTATTTCCAGAATCAAACCGGTAAATTCCGTAAATTAAATTATTACAATCTGCCTTGGCCAGGGGCCGAACTAAGGTCTATTGCAGTGTAACCTACAATAGGTCTTAGTTGTTACTAACTGAGATAGGGCGGTGAGACCCAGTCAATATTATTTTTTTTTTTTTTTTGATACTTTTACTAGGCACGCACAAGTGGTATTATATTTGGATGCATACCCTTCAACAGAAA